GGTAGCGGGGGCTTCATGGGGAGTGAGAGCTGCCTGGGGAGGCTCTGCGTTCGCTATGCGGGAGGCCGGGTGCGTTAGCTCGCGTCGTGCAAGGAGGGGCCCCGGGACAGCGGCCCAGGGTCCGGGGACCGGCCGCTGTGGGCACCTGGGGCCACGGCAGTCGGGGTGGGCCCCCCCCCTCCCCTTGGGCTGTCTGGAGGGTGAAGGGCGACACCGACCCTGCGCTAACCCTGACCTCCTTGCTCTTGTGCCCTCTAACAGAGACATTTCGGCAGACACAGACCGGGAGCCCCAGCAGCTGCAGAACTACTGGTCAGAAGTGCGCTACATGGTCCGCTGCATTTACCGCCAGGCAGGGACCCCGCTGGCCGACGACCAAGACCAGAGTCTGGTGCCGGACAAGGAGGGGGTGAAGGAGCTCGTGGATAGGTACACGTTGCCCCCTGTGTCATGTCCCTCCCTCACCTGTTGCCGGGGAAGCCTCCTCTCTGCTTGCGGGGGTGGGGGGGGGGTCTCCTTTCAGGACCTAGTGAGCTCGGCCCTGCGTGCCTGGCCCCGGGGGCACTGCCAGTCTTCAGCAGACAGACTGCCAAAAAGCACACCTGCTGGGTAAAGTTTCCAATTCTAATTCTGATGAAATACCTCTTGTCTGTATATTAAAAAAAAGAAAAATGAGTTGACGTGTTTCTTTCATTTCTTAGCGCTGAGACAGACGGTAACACTGCTTTTTGAGTACTTTCTGTGCCGGGGGTGATCTAAGCACTTGCTCAGGAGGCACTCTTGCATGTAGCTAACCCAAGGAGGACAGGACAGGCAGTTATCCCAGTGTCAAGGTGAGAAGAAGCTTCCGTGAGGCCAGGCAGCTTGAGAACGTGGGTAAGCGTGAGTAGAGGGCCTGCTGTAGCCAGGCCTGGACGAGTGGGTGATTCTCAGACAAGAGTGGCTCACCACGTGGCGTCTGTTGTTCGGCAGCACTTTGTGCCCGCTGACACTACAGAACTTGAGGTGGGCATACTTTTTATTCTTCCTTACAGCTTGTAGCATCTTTTTCCTCTTTTTTTGACATGTTCCGAATAAGAGGAATAAATTTGAGCTGGACATTTCACAGATCGATTCTCCTTTTGTTTTCTTTTTCTCACATTTTGAATGCAACACCTTTGGGGGTCTTAGAAACCGTTGTTTGCTGTAGAGTACGGTTTATCTGTGGAGACTGGAATAGTGATTGGCCATGGGTTCTACTGACTAGTGGTTGAATCCGGCCAGTGTGTTTAGCGCTTGGCCTGTGTTCCAGGAGGCGGTTCTGGGTGGTATGTGCCTGTTTTGGAAGTCAGGTTGCCAAGTGAGTATGAGGAAGAAACATGACCTGCACCTCAGGCCCATGACTTCATACACTGTGAATGCTTAGGAAGTGGCTAAAGTCAAACGAGGCAGTTGAAGGAGAATACCCAGCAGGTACAGTGTGGTGAGAGATGTTACCATGGACATTACAAAGGTAATACTGTGAATTGTGAAGGTTTGGGAAGCAGTGTTGCCCTACGAGTGAAATAATACTGTTATGTGGAAATCTCACGCCCCCATCTAGAAGCGTATGTATCGGATAACCGGATTTCCCCCAGTCCTTGCCTCCAGGAACGCTGCTGTTTTTGTTGGTTATGTGCCGACACACATCAGGAGAGGGATGTGTGTGATGCCTGTACAGCTGGTGACGATAATCCTTTCCTCCTTTCCGTGGCCCCCGGCGTCCTGCGTGGTCCTGCTCTGCGCCACTCTCATACTGTTGGTCACTGCATTCCAGCTGTGCTGGCTCCCGTCATTCCTCTCCTGGCCACACTCGCTCCTGCTCCAGGACCTTTGCATTTGCTCTTCTGTCTGCGTTGTTCTTGCTTCCTCGGGGTTGTTTTTGCTCCCTTCAGTTGTTCACATTACTTTTCGGAGTAACCTCAAAGAGGCCACCCTAAGATCTGAGGCGCCTCCCTGCCATCACTATTCCTCCCCTTGCCCTCTTTCTTATTACGTTACTGCCGTTACCTAGAATTCCATCATATATATGCACGTGCCATAAGCGTCACGTGGGCGGAGAGTTTCTTTACTTGGCTTCCTCACTGCTGCGGTTTGACGGGTTAGAATAACCTTCAGCACACAGGCGCGCCCGTGCTTGTTGACTGTATGTATGAATGAGCTGCCCGCATCTTCAGCGTATTCCTGCCTCTTGGTCATACGGTTTTTAAAAAAATCTACTTGCAGAAGTACCCCATGGCCATTTCATTAAATTTGTAGAATACAGAGAGGGACAGAGACATAAAGGAAAACAGATGTACAGTTCTCCATGTTAAGAGGCATCCAGTCTCCCTATAAGTTTGATTGTTCCTCTGTCATTTGAGTCTTCTGTGGTGTCCATTTAACACACGAAATGCATTCCGTTTCACAGGACAGTTGTTGTACTGGAAATTAAGAAACTGTCTGTCTGAAACATACCGGCCTCAGTGGGAGTCCCATCAGTTTTTATTGTTTCTGTAGCCACATTGTGTATAAGGCTTCCCATGTTTCATTGCTGGGTTTCACTTGGTTCTTGTCTTTGCAACTCAGGTGGTGCGCTAATTTAAAACTGAAATAGATGGCAACTTACTACATTCTTCCCTTTTGACCAGATGTGGTGCCCAGAAGGTGAAAGGATCCATTATGTAAAGTCCAGGAACTGTGGCCTAATATGTTTTACAACTTGTGTCTAATGAAGCACTGGCCTCAGAGTGCTTCCTCCTGGTGGCGGGTCACAGACAGATACTGTCGTCACCCCAGAGATCCTGGGTTTCTGTCTGCAGGCTCCTCAGAAGCTCATACTTAAGAGGAACGGCCACTTTACAAGTAGATTATCTGCAAGTTAGGAAAGAAGTTCATAAAAATGTTAACTGCTATTGTGGCCCAGTGGAAAGGCCCTTATTAATTTTTTCCCTGCTCCTCATTTTACAGATTTTATTTTATACGCTCCTTTGGGTTTTTTGGTGGGATAATTTAAAAAGGGATGTATTGTTTCGACAGTGTCCTCTGATTATAAAAATAATAAGCCCATTTGGATTGTATACCGAATTCATAGAAAGGACAGAATAGTCTGCATTAGTCCTCCAAGCCAGGTATCACTTCTGCTGGGATCGCCGCTTTTCACCTAACATACGGGCGTTGAAAATTAATTGTCTTCAGCCTCCTGTGTTTTTAGATAGTCTTGTGGTTGAGAAAGCACATCCCTCCCAAGACAGCTGCTGCGGTGCCCGTGTATAAGCACTGCCACCTGCTGGTTCTGTGAGTTCCAGCCTTTTACCCAGCCCGTGTGGACTTCTGTGTTTGGCTGAGGGATGAACTCAGTGATCAGCTGAGTCAGTACGTGTGCGAGCCAGTGCTAGTGCAGGGTAAGCTCTGAGTAAATACTGGGGTTTTTTTGGTCCATTGGCTGGTGACTTTGGAGTTCTCGATGCTTTCTGTGCCTGGGTTCCTCTCTGTTGAGTGGGGTGATGGCCCCTCTCACAGGTGGTTGAGAAGATGGCTGCTGTTTCTGTCGTCGGGCCGGTGCCTGTGCAAAGGCTCCGGGACGTTGCTCGTAGAACAGTTCCAAGGAGGGCCTTGTGTGGATGGGATACAGGTGAGTGGTGACTCTCTCTTCTCTGCGCAGGCTCTGTGAGAGGGACCCTTACCAGCTGTACCAGCGGTTGGAACAACAGGCCAGAGAGTATGTGCTGGAGATGAAGGTCCGACTCCTCCGGCAGCTGTCGGCTGCATCCAAAGTGAAAGCCCCGTCTGCCCTGCAGGGCCCTCCACAGGCACACCAGTTCATCTCCCTCCTTCTCGAAGAGTACGGTGCCCTCTGCCAGGCGGCACGCACAATCAGCACCTTCCTTGGCACGCTGGTAAGAGGGAAAGCTGCCTTTCTCTGGTTCTGCTGGGGAGAGCTGTGGAGAAGGGCTGTGGTCGTGTGAAGCCGTGAGGCTTGTGTGTTGATCGCGTGCACCGTCACGGGCTCCTGCTTGGCGGTGTTCAGGCATGTAGGAGAGAACCTGATTGCTCTCCCTTTTCTCTTCTCTCTGGACTTTGCCGTGGGATAAAAGTGTTGTGTGAATTGATATCCGGGCGACCCATCATAGGAATGCTCTTTGGAGGCCTTGAGGCCTAGGGAGGGAGCGATGGGGACCATATGAGGTTAGGACCAGTGTGTGTGTGCATTAACGGAAAAGAAAGAGAGATGGCTTCTGTCTTGAGTTGTTAACTCTGCTGTCAGTGTGCACACGCAGAGCATGAGTCCTGTAGAGGGCACTTGCTGACAGCCCTGTGGCTTTCGGTCATTGATTGCCCAGTCCAACCCTGGGTTAAGGATGGGTTCACAGAAACAAGTGAGAACACCACCCCGCCCCGCATCCCTGTCTGGTAATGCTAACAAAGGAGTGTCCTTTCTGACCACTTCACAAAGGTAAGTTAGCACAGGTGGGTAGAAAGAGGCACATAGTGGAAGTACAGTTACTGGAAACCAGCTAAGCTGGAGATGAGTGCCTTCGGTCAGCCCCGGCAGTCAGCGCAGCTGCCAGTTGGAAGGAGACCATGGTACCCAAGAGACCAGCCATTCATGCTTTCTGGACTGTTACAGAAATAGCAATTTGCTGATAGTCTGTGGAGCTGTTGCTCATCACCTAAATTTTATTATTAAATGATACTTCAGGGGCGCCTGGGTGGCTCAGTCAGTTAAGCATCCAACTTCGGCTCAGGTCACGATCTCATGGTTCGTGAGTTCCAGCTCCGCGTCGGGCTCTGTGCTGACAGCTCAGAGCCTGGAGCCTGTTTCGGATTCTGTGTCCCCCTCTCTCTCCCCTGCTCACGCTCTCTCTCTCTCAAAATAATAAACATTAGAAGAAAATTTAAATGATACTTCATTGGGCTAGTTTTGAGTACTTTCTCATGGGTAAAACTACATTTTGAAACAAGTATAGTAATCAGTAATCCCTAAAGTTTTAAATGTAATGGTCTTTATGTGACTCTAAAGTTGATAGAGCTTCCTGCTAGAGAAATTTACAGGCACGCAATTTGGCAAGTAATTTCAGGGGGTTCACGGACTTCCTCAAGCATTCCTGTGGTAGACCTTGCCATTCCTGTAAGTGACTCCCTGCATCTTCGAGAAGAGCTTGTGTTGTGAGAAAAGGACTGCTGAGTGGGAGGGGCAGAGTCTCTGCTTCAAGATGCGATTCTACAACTGGATGCCTGCGCCCCTGAGCGGGGCCGGGCTCGCCTCTGACACCTCACTCCTTCCTGGCGCGTCTCATGCAACTCTTCCTCTTCTGCCTCGACTTACTGAAAGTAAGTCAGAAGTTCACATCTAGTGCCGTCTCCTCTGTGACCACAACCTTGAGACCTTCCTGAGTCTGCTGTGAGAGGGGACAGCCGAAGTTAAGAGTGTCTCCTGGCTGTCTGAACTTCATGCATAGCAGTGAAGAGTGCTACCGCAGTGCCCCAGCTGGTGCTTTAAGTCCAGGCCCTCCTCAGGCAGTTAGAGTGGAATAGGGCTCTGGAACCAAACAGATTGATTTGGACCCTGCTTCTTGGAGCAAATTCCTAGAAATTTACATAGAAATATTTTCTTGTGGTTTGGAAAAAAGTTCGTAAGCGCGAAGAACAAAATGTAGTTGTTTGGTCGGTGATTTATGTCACTTTGGTTGCACATGGAGATACTCTTTGGTTTCCAGTGGTACAGCAGACGAGATACCTTGAACGCTTCCTTCCTCCAAGGGAAACGACTGAATTACTGGATGACAGAAACTAAAACAAGATATGAGCTTTTACAACACATTGCTGAGGTGGCATGAGAGGCAAGAAGCCTTAGGGGTGAAAAACACATCGGCAGCTGGAGTTCTGAGTAACTTGTGTGCCCCAAAGCCACCATTCACTCCAAGGATTTATAATCCTGGAAGACAGGATGTACAGCCTAGGTCCAACCCCGGGTGGCATCGGCACGCAGTGCTGGGCCTGCAGATGGCCACCACCTCCCTGTGAGAGCGAAGGAGAGGCCCTCAGACTGGAGGGACGGCAAGGGCGTATGCCTGTTATGATCTTGGGGTGGGCAGAGGTGAAGTACAGCCTCCCCCAAAAGTGTGTAACTGTGAACCAACTGCCTCCTCGGCCTGTGGTCTCAACAAGTGCTGTCGGTGGGGTATCGCAACTCCCAAGCCCACAGGTCACTTCATGGTGATGGAGGCTGTCATGTCAGTAAATCAAGCAACGTGCACGTAGTGGGCTTGGCGTCATCCCAGGTAACCACAGTAACCTTGTCGTGTCACAAAAGCCGACTATGACTTCTTATCACTGACTCACACCCAGTCTGTATAAAAATTCTCAGTTACCTCCAGAACCTCTTTTATGGTTGGAGCGTTCAAATCAGGATCCAACAAGGTTCACACAGTTGTAACAATATCCTTCCAGGCCCGCCGGTGATCTTTGCAGGATAAGAAATTGACACAGCTGAGTTAAGATTGAGTTAAAGTTAGTGTCTGAAGGCAGCAGTTCTCAACATTTTTGGACTTGGGGCCCTTTAAACTTAAAAACTGAGGACTCCAAAGGGCTTTTCTGTCTTTGTATATTTTATCTGTTAATATTTGCTGTATTGAAATTAAAAATTTAAAACTATTAAAGCACTTTTGAGATGAGCCCCATTACATAACATAAATAGCACATATTTTAAAATAAAAACTATTTTCTTTCTTTCTTTCTTTCTTTCTTTCTTTCTTTCTTTCTTTCTTTCTTTCTTTCTTTCTTTCTTTCTTTCTTTCTTTCTTTCTTTCTTTCTTTCTTTCTTTCTTTCTTTCTTTCTTTCTTTCTTTCTTTCTTTCTTTCTTTCTTTCTTTCTTTCTTTCTCTTTCTTTCGTTTATTTTTGAGAGAGACAGAGCATGAATGGAAGAGGGGCAGAGAGAAAGGGAGACACAGAGTCCGAAGCAGGCTTCAGGCTCCAAGCTGTCAATACAGAGCCTGACGGGCTGGAACTCACAAACCGCAAGATCACTACCTGAGCCGAAGTCGGACACTTAACTGACTCAGCCACCCAGGCGCCCCAAAAAGAACTATTTTCTGAAGCATATTTAGTAAGAAGAGGGGCGTCATTTACATCTTTGCAAATCTCCATAGTTTCTGGCTCAAACAGAGGACACATGGATTCTTCTCGTTGCTTCTCCGCTCATGCTGTTGTCATAGGTTGCTTTGGCTGAAGTTATTGATGAAAATCCTGCCTCACACAGATGTGTATTTGGAAAACGGAGGAGTATTTTAGTAGCCTTTTCAGCCATTTTTCTTGGAGAGTACAACAGTGCCTTAGTGCTTCTTAAATGTTTATCTTTGGGAGAGAGAGAGAGCGAGAGCATGTGCACAAGCGAGAGCGGGATAGAGAGGGGGACAGAGGATCTGAAGCAGGCTCCACGCTGGCAGCAGTGAACCCACCTCGGGCTCAAACTTACAAACCGCAAGATTGTGACCAGAGCCGAAGTCAGACGTTTAACTGACTGAGCCATGCAGATGCCCCCAGAGCCTGTTAATGGTTAGTTGCAGTGTAGACTCTGAAACCCTTGAGCTGACTGTATTGTTAACATCAGAACCATTATTGTAGCCCACACTTTGAGTGGATGTGCCCATGCATGGGTTTCTAGCATCATGCATTGGTTATTTGGAAAATACTGGTTCACTGAATAATTTAGTGCACATCTTCCTGATGATATTCAGTATAAAAAGTGACCTTTGTTACTGTCACCACTGATCCTTATCAGAATGGAGAAGCTTCAAGGCCACAGTGGCAATTTTCCAAAGTTCTGATTTTTGCTTGAAAGCTTGATTTTTTTTTCCAAAGTTCTGATTTTTGATTGGTCACAAATCGGTCAATTATTTTCCTTAAAGCAGCAAATTGGCTTGCTGTGCAAACCCTGCCTGCTAAGTTCTCTGCTAACTCGACTGGCTTCTCTTGGAAACATCTCCTGTTTTTCTGATTCTGCAGAACCCATGGCATACATCTAGACATAGAAAGAATTTTTAAAAACATGACTTTCATGGGAAATGTACTTGTGGGTTTATTCCACACTGCCCTGGAGAATCAGAGGATGATGGGGTCATAGTTTATTTTTTTTTAATTAAATTAAATTAAATTTTACTTTATTTTATCTTTAGAGAGAGAGAGAGTGCATGAGTGGGGCAGAGGGGCTGAGGGAGGAACAGAGAGAGAATCCTAAGCAGGTTACACACTCAGTGTAGAGCCCAACAAGGGGCTTGATCTCATGACTCTGGAATTGTGACCTGAGCTGAAATCAAGAGTCAGATGCTCAAATGACTGAGCCGCCCAGGTACTCCGATAGGGTCACATTTAACAAAATGTATTTTATTTTATTTTATTTTATTTTATTTTATTTTATTTTATTTTATTTTAATTTTTTATTTTATTTTATTTTATTTTATTTTATTTTATTTTATTTTTTTATTTATTTTATTTTTTATTTTCACTTTTATTTTTATTTTATTTATTATTTAAAAATTTTTTTACATGTTTATTTTTGAGAGAGCATGAGCAGGGGAGGAGCAGAGAGAGAGAGGGAGACAGAATCTGAAGCAGGGTCCAGGCTCTGAGCTGTTAGCACAGAGCCCGATGGAAAAAGTTTATTTTAAATATTAAAATAAAATTAGGACTAAAGTTATGCTTCCCACTAAGAAATGCCTTGCTAGACTGCGGTAATCATGAAATCTGAATTTCTATCCACAAGGACAGAAGAATCTTGACTATCCTGGTATTTCTCAAGGTCTGTTACAGAACTTGATTCTAAATATCTTCTCTTTCTTCTTCCAAATCCCAAAACCTTCTTGCAGTTGAATGTGAAAAGTAAAACTAGCCTGGATATAAAAGCACAAGCCTGAGTCATTGGCGGGCTTGTTCTCGGCGCCTCTGGCTCAGGCAGCACCGAGTCCCGGCCACACTCACACACAGGCGCTGCTCCCCCCTCCACCCTCCCCCTCTGTAGCTGTGAGTGCACGTCTTCCCCGGAGCCCCCCTCAGCTGGCCGAGGGACTGCTCTGGCTGCTGCCTTAGCTCCTACACGTTCTCTGTTGTAGAGACGAATTGTGAATCGGATCACTGCCTACTACTCTGTCCCCTGGTGACTCCTGGGGAGCAGGGACCTACGGTTCTGGTCTTTGTGTTCCTGTACCTGGCACAGCACCTGCAGAGAGTAGTCTCTGCTGAGGTCCGTGACACGTGGCATGTTCGACATGTCCTCTGTGGCCACGTCCTTAGTACATTTTTGGGGTAACAGTTTCTCATTCCAGAAACGGGGCTGAGTTTATTGGTTCCTGGGCCACTGTCCCTGTTTTGAATACAGGTGTTGAAAAAGCACACCTACGGGAGTGAGAGCAAGCTGTGGAAACATGGACGACACTGGGGGTTTGAGGTTCTCTGCAAGCATCGCGGGTTCCTTAACCAGCTTTCTCTCTGTAGGGTATGAGGAGAGCACTGTAGGTGGCGGAGCGGACACACACATCTGCAGTGTGGTGGTGCCACTGTTGTGCGCTGAGCACTGTCTCACTGGTGTTTGTGCTCAGGAACAGGAAACGATGGCTTTAATTCAGTCTCTCAGCCCCCGTGCCAGCCCGTTATCAGGGGGCAAAACATGGACTGTTCTTGGGTGGACGTTTACTGACATCTGCAGGTGTGATCACTTTGATTCACTTTGGCTAACTTGTGGAACAGACCACTGAAGGTGCTCACTGTGAGTACTTCGTCTCATGGACTGTTGACTGCATCTTGCTGAGCAGTGCCCAGAGTTGGCGGTTGCTTAGGGAAGGAGCATCTCCCTGTGGACGTGAGACGGTGAGACGCAGGTAGCGCACGCCTGTAGCTTCCTGGTGGAAGCATCGCTTCCCACACAGGCATTTGCTTATAGCAAGATCCGGTAGAAGTGAATGCCGCGTTTAGGGAAGGTGCCGCTGTCTCTCCTGGTCACCTTGCGTTGAGGGCAAATGGATGTCACCCTCCGTGATGGCCAGGACACTCCTGAATGTTTAAAAGATGTCTCAAGTAACTGATGAGTTTGGCTGCGTTTGTTAGGGAAAGGAAAGACCTGACTTTTCACAGCATATCACTAGTGGGGCAATTATTTGCATCTATCAGAATGGGAGATTTCTCAAGACAGGCAAGAAGATGATTCTCCTGTCATATCAGAGGGTTTGTGTGCACTTAAATTGTGTGAAGAGTAGGGCTTGCAGTGCGTTTTGGAAGCACAGTTGCACGGAATGACCATCAAATATACACATGTGTTTCTCTCTCCCTCTGTTGTTTCTTCAGCTGTGTGTGTCTTACCCCCTTTCCCTGTGTGAAGGGTTTAGAAGGGAGGAGAGATGGGGGTCCCGTGTGCGTGTGGCCAGATACCTGCGTCAGGTTGTGCTCTGGGTGCACAGGGAGCAGCGACCCCTCGTCCACAGGATGTTCGGGCTTGTGTAGAGGATGGCGGGGGCGGATTCTTCTGGGAAATTTTTAGTTTTCATCAGCACAGTACATCTTCGTTTGTTTGTTTGTTTGTTTGTTTGTTTATTTATTTATTTATTTTAACTAGGAAAACGAACACTTGAAAAAGTTCCAGGTGACGTGGGAGCTGCATAATAAACATCTGTTTGAAAACCTGGTCTTTTCAGAGCCACTTCTCCAGAGCAACTTGCCGGCACTGGTGTCACAGATCAGGTATCTGGTCTTAATCTGCATGTGTCTCTGTGAGGTGACAGCATGGGCCTTTTCCCTGTGGTGTAGCATGTGTACATCTGAACACCACTGCAGTGTGCAGGTTCTTGCCCAAAAAGTCGCAGGGCTTAGGGAAAAATACAGTTTGGACAGAGACTCAAAACCCTGCGAGCAATACAATTAAACTTTAGAATAACAAACTCCGCAACAATACCTCTAAGATTCAGCACCGCAAAGTGATGGATCACTAAATTCTACACTGTAACCAATTTTACCGTATACGTTAACTAACTAGAATTTGAATAAAAACTTGGGGCAAAAAAAGATTTAACACCAGAAATTCCTTGTAAATAAGGACAAGGACATAGGATTTTTCTTTGACAAGACTCAGGCTTGGCCCGGTGGCTGTGACGTAGTCCGTACTGTGGCACTCAGGTGTGCAGGGGGAATGGGAAGAGGGTGTGGGGGGTGAGAGGAGGGCTCCAGCATGGACCCGACAATGCCAAGGGGCTCCTGGGCACTGAGGGCAGGGATTTGTGTCTCTCAGATGCTCCCTCCGTGCCTTTGTTCAGGGCTTGGGTTCTTCTTACTGGTGTAGAGTATCCGTGGGGCTTCCTCATGTGTGCCAGGATGGGTGTGCCAAGTGCAGTATGCAGGGCATTTGCCCTGGTTGATGCGGCTGGGGGTGTGTGTGTGTGTTCCCACGTGGCTGTGCTCAGTTGGGAGGAGCCTCTTTGGGTCTGCATTCCCTGTGTGCTGCCTCGCCAGGTGCATGCTTCCTGGGTTCTGCAGCGTGGTGATTTTGTTCTATGGACTTAACCACATGTGACCAGACTCCTACACTCTAGACGCTTAATAACAGCATGGACCACGGTCACCTTTATTTAAATGTCCATGCTGAAATTTATTTAGACCAGATTGACAAAGAAGGGAATTTTTTTTTTAATGTTGGTTTATATTTGAGAGAGACAGAGACAGAGAGAGACAGTGTGTGAGCGGGGAAGGGGCAGAGAGAGATGGAGACAGAATCTAAAGCAGGTTCCAGGCTCTGAGCTGTCAGCACAGCTTGGACCCACGATTCACGAGGTCATGACCTGAGCCAAAGTCGGAGGCTTAACCGACTAAGCCTCCCAAGAGCCCCAAAGGGAAATTATTTTTTAAGTAAATAAATTATTATCGTAGTTGACTTACATAGCACTTTTTTCTTCTCTTGAAACCCATTTATCAACCTAGTTTTCATTTCCTATATTCCTAAATTCTATCTGAGGGATCATAACTGTTCTCACTTAACACTCACCTCTGGAGAAAGAAGAACTCTAAAAGCAGTTGGATAAAGGTAATGGGGGCAGAGAGATCAGAACCAAGTGTTGTGTGGGTGTGGCCTATGCTCTGCTTGGCTCCTGACCCCTGCCGACATCCCCTTCCCCTTCCCCACAGCCTCTTCTCCGCCCACCCTTTCCCTCTGTGTCCACTCTGCAAGCATCTGGCACATTCCGTGGTGGGGGCATGGATCCCTGAGTGTCCTAACTTTGACCCCCCCCCCCCCCCCACAGAAGAAAGAGAGGAAAATACTCAAAATTGTGAGTTTGAAATGCAAAACATGGTGTTGTCCCTAGTCACGACATTGAGATCCACCAAAAGCACTTTTTATGAAAAGACATGAGTTTTGGGAAGGGGGAGGGTTCTTACAGCAAGATTCCAGGACCTCGTACTTTCTTGTTCTGGTGAGCCAGTCAGTTTGATGGGCTTATCATCAAACTGGGGCTGAGTGAGCAGTACCTGAAACGTGTCCCAAAACTGTGCCTTAGTTCCAGATTTCTTACTCATTGCACATGATGGTAAGACTCCAGAGACTGGCAGTGTTTTAGTCTTGAATGCTAATTCTGGGGTCAGGCTGAAGTATTGCTCATGGGAGCAGGGTGGGAGCCAGGGAAATAGAGATGGGGACCGAGCTGGGGAGGAGGCAAGAGAGCGTTCCCCAGGAGGACTGGTGATGCCCAAAGCTCTTCTGTGCTCCCTGGCAGACTCCCTTTTCAGACCCAAGAATAATTCAGGTTTGAGCTTCTGGCGTATAGATACCCATTTAACAATGTGTACCAGTTTTGGGATGAGTTGTATACAAATACTATCCCCTAAAGTAATGACCACGGCTGTGGCATGTAAAATCTGTAGTTGCGAGTATTTTAATTGACACTGGGCTCTGGGCCTGTGTTTAACTTTATTATAAAGTAAAACATAGATAGACAAAACTACACAAAGCAAATGTACAGCTAAATGAATTGTTGGCAGGTGAGCATCCCATGGCCACCCGTGAGCACAGCCCCCAGGAAGTCAGTACCTCTGTGTGGCCCGTCCAGACACAGGGTCCTCTCCCTGAGCTGCCGCTGAACTGGCTTCCGTGGTAGTCCTGCTCTTTCTTTTTTTTCTTCTCATATTACTCAGGTGTGTGTTGCCATCGTCTTGCCTAGTTTTTTGTTTGATGTATCTTTTGTATTTTGGTTTTTTTCAAACACGAATTATTTAAGCGAGGCTGACCTCATGTAAAGGAACCAACTAAGTTCAAGAAAGTTATTTCTCTCCTTTTTTTTTTTTTGAACAGCTTTGCTGAGATAAAATTTACATGCCATACAATTCACTCATTTAAAGTATACAGTTCAATGGCTGTTGGTATATTACATCGTCAGCTATTAAAAATTGTGGTAAAGTATGTACAACATAAGACTTGCCATTTTAGCCACATTTAAGTGGACAATTCATTTGGATTAATTACATTCACAGTATTGGGCAACCATCACCAGTATCTATTTCCAGAACTTTTTCATCACCCCGGAGACTCCATCATGGTTAACTAACAATTCCCCACCCCTTCTTTTCCCCATGTCTTTGGTAATTCTTTAACCTCCCGGTCCCCACCCCACCCATCCTGTCCCTTGTAATTTATCTGTTGAAGAACCTGAGCCCTTGACCCTTCAGAGATGCCCAGAGTGTGGACCCCGCAGCCTGCGTGCTCACAGGGCACCGCACAGGCTTTCTGTCTGTGCTGCCGGAGAGCTGGTGCTGGATCCAGGAGCTTCATCAGACCTGTTTCCTTCCCTGTAGCAAGACCAGGAGCCTCACTGTCTGCTTATTTGTTGTTATGGGTATTAGCAGCGATTGCCCAACTGGATTTTATTTTAAATATATAATATTAATTGTTTGGGAAATGTTTAATTAGGTTTGTGAATAAACTTACCAAAAGTGACTTCATTTCGTTCTCCTTATCACTTATTTTTTCACATGCATGGTATTTGTAACCGAGGTTACCGTGAGTATCTTTCCATGGTGTTATCATGCATTTACAAAGTGAATATTTAGATAGTGACCCGTGTGTTCAGCCACTGATGCCATGCGCCGTGAGGACATTCTTCATTTTCTCTCTGGATTCCAGTCCAGCTCTGCTTGAATGTAAGCCCTGTGCCTACACATTGTGCTCCGATTACCCCACCAAAGATGTCCCGGGACCCCTGACTGCTTTGCTCTCCATTGGCTCAAAATGGAACCTGTATCATGGTATAGGAGGAGAGCAGTTCTCACTTCTGGTAGAAGGGGGAAGAAAAATGTGTGCCGGGCAGATACCGGTCTCCCTTAACATCCCCGTTTTCCAAGTGGTACAAGAGAAGGCAGGATGACGTTACATAGAAGAAGGGCTTTGCGTGAAGCATGGGAATCTGTGATGAGCAAGGCTGTGGAAGCAGGAATGGGAGAGAAAGCGGCTGGCTGCTCTGGGACTGATGAACAGCCAGCCAGAGGGCTGTGTTCTCAGGCCCTGGGCCCACCCAGTCACTGTGCAGAGCCCAGAGCAGCCTCAGAATCTTGGTCTTTTAGAAGAGTGTTGTTTGGTTTTTTTTTTTTTTTTTTTTTTTTTTTTTTTTTTTTTTTTTTTTTTTTTTTTTTTTTTTTTTTTTTTTTTTGAGCTCTTCTTTGAGCTTCTCCTTGATTCCAGATTCTGTTCTGGGTGCCTCACAGCAGCAGCCTGGTGCAGTGCTTAGCGGTGTCCCACTTGTCACATCGGGAGAGGAGGTGACGGAAGCAAAACTCCCGTCTCTGGCCTGGAGCCTTTGGACCCCTTTCCTTTGCTGAGATGCCTCTCTCCCTAGGCTGGGGACCACAACACACGACACGTGCAACGAGGACACGTACAGCACCCTGCTGCAACGGTACCAGCGCTCCGAGGAGGAGTTGCGCAGGGTGGCTGAGGAGTGGCTGGAGTGCCAGCAGAGGATCGACGCCTATGTCGATGAGCAGGTGAGTGCGTGCTGCCAGGAGATGTTGTGGGCCAGGCACGTGTGCCAGGGTGACCAGGGACGGGGAGGTGCAGGTGCGGTGACAGGGAATGGGGAGGTAGGTGCAGGTTGGGGGATTCTGGCCACTGACTTTCCAAAGGGAGCAGAGATTCTGCGGTGCCACAGTGGTCTTCATTCAGTTGTGCCTGAGGGTGGCAGCAGCTGTTAATCAGATCACTGTTGGCCTGGCTACACCCACCGTCACCTGCATGGGCTGCCACCTGGTTCAGTGTCCCCTCAAGAGTCTATGAGGCCCTTGGGAGCTCCTGAGCCTTGTAATTTCAGGAACCACTTCCTGAAAGCTCTGCCATTCAGAGCCCATTCTCGGTCTCTCACCATCTAGAAAAGGAGTGCAGACAGAACATAGTTGATTGTACTTGGCAGGTGCTGACAGGGACGGAGGAGGACCAAGAAGGCAGGGCCCTCCTCTTGGAGATGGGGCCTGAGGGCAGGTGCAACTGGTCAGCAGGAGCCTCTTAGGAGGCCAGAGTGTGGGACTTCCAGAGGGCACCCCAGATGCCTGCCCGCCTTTCTAAAACTGCAGGAGGGTGGATAGAGGAGGAGGAATTCAAAACCGCCCTTTCCAAGATAACAGGATGTAAGGAGTGATAAGGGAGCACTGACAGAGCTTTGTTTTACTTTTGAGACTCTGGGATTTGGATCTGCCCTACTGCAGACCCCGTGGATGCTTTCTCTTTCCATGTTATAGGTAGGATGAATATAAATGCAGTTCTGGTTTTAGAAATTCTTTCTTCATTTCTCCAGTTAAACTGTGACTAAACACATAAATGCCTCAGGACAACTCTTAGAAAAAAGGAAAGACTGAGACTTTGCAGAAATGGAGAAAACCTTTGGGAATAGTAATTTTCTTACGGATCTGTCCCTGAAATTAAATGTCTATTTAGGAATGTAATGTATAGTATTATCACTGCTATTCTGATGAAAATGGAGTGTATGTAAAAACAACAATATGGTTATTTTCTCTAGGAAGGAAAGTACAGTCTTACTTTAAAAAGTAAACCTGAAATTAAATTTATTTCTTTAAAAGTCATGTTCTGGGGCACCTGGGTGACTCAGTTGGTTAAGTATTGCAGTTCACAAGTTCGAGTCCCGTGTCAGGTTCTATGTTGACAGCACAGAGCGTGCTTGGGATTCTCTCTCCCTCTCTCTCTGCCCCTCCCCTGCTCTCACTTGTGCTGTCTCTCTCTCTCTCTCTCTCTCTCAAAAATAAATAAACATTAAAAAATAAAAAAAATAAAAGTACATGTTCTCACAGCTCTAAATGCTTACAGTAAAAAGTAGGAAAGATCTTAAATCAGCAACCTAACTTGGCAACTTAAGGATCTAGGGAAAAAAGACAAACTAAACCCAAAGCTGGCAGAAGGAGAGAAACAATAAAGATTACAGCAGATAAAATACAGAGTAGAAGAAACAGTGAAACCAGACGTTTGTTCTTTAAGATCATCAAAGTTGTCAAATCTTTAGCTATATAGACTAAGAAAAAAAAGAGAGAAGACTCAATTACTAAAATCAGAAACGAAGTGGGAACATTATTACTGATTCTACAGAAATAAGAAGAATGGTAAAAGAGTACTGTGAACAGTATCAGAACAGAACACCAACAAATCAGATCCCTTTAGATGAAACGGACAAATTCCTGGAAACACAGAACCTGCTGAGACTAAGTCACAGGGACACAGGAAGTCTGAATAGACCTACAGCTGGTATGGAGACTGAATCACTAATCAAAAATCTCCCAGCAGAGGAAAGCCCAGGACCTGTCGGCTTTGCAGGTGAATTCTGTCAAATATTTAAAGAAGAATTAACATCAGTCCTTCCAAAAAATTGAAGAGGAGAGAAGCTCGCCAACTCATCCTGTGAGGCTAGCATTACCCTGATACTAAAGCCCCACAGACAATGTAAAAACAACAAAACTACAGGCCAGCATCCCTTAAGAACATTGGAGCAAAATTCTCAACAAAACAAGCAAACAGAATTCATAAATATATTGAAAGAACTTTACACCATGACCAAGTGGGACTTATTCTTGGAATGGAAGGAGGGTCAATATGTGAAAATTGATCAGTGTAATAGACTACATCAACAGAGTGGAGGGGGTAAAAAAAAAAAAAAAAAAAATGGTAGTCTCAGTCGATGCACAAAAATCATTTGACAGTATTTAACCCTTTTTCATGATAAAACACTTAACAAACTAGGAACAGAAGGGAACTACCTCCACATAAGAAAGCCATGTGTGAAAATCCATGGGAACCATCATACTCAGTGGTGAAAGACTGAAAGCATTTCCTCTAAGATGAGGAATAAAGCAAGGTTGCTTGGTTTCTCTGCTTCTATTCAACATGATACTAGAAGTTCCGGTCAGAGCAATTAGGCAAGAAAAATAAAAGGCATCCAAATTGGGATGGGAGAAGGTAAATTATCTCTGTGGATGATATGATCTTATGTGTAGAAAATCCTAAAGACTGTAAAAAAAAAAAAATACTAGAACTAATAAATGAATTCAGCAAAGCATCAAGAACAAAGTCAGTGCACAAAAAGTTATATTTCTGTATGTTAACAAACAATCTGCAAAGGAAATTATAAAAAATCCCATTACAACACTATCAAAATGAGTAAAATACTTATAAATTAATTCACTCAAGGAGGTGGAAGGTTTATACAGTGAAAACCATTAAACTTTCTGAAAGAAATTAACAAAGACATAAAGGGAAGGACATGCCATGTTCGTTGGAAGACTTAAGGTTAAAATGTCTGTATTAGCTAAAGTGGTCTACACACTCCGTGCTATCCCTGTCAAAATCGTAAAGTTGTTTTTGTAGAAATAGAAAAATACATCTTGTGGCACCTAGGTGGCTTAGTCAGTTGAGTGTCTGTCTTTCAGCTCAGGTCATGATCTTGCGGTTCATGAGTTTGAGCCCCACATTGGGCTCGCAGCTGTCAGTACAGAGCCTGGTTGGGATTCTCTGTCCCCCTCTCTCTCTGCATCCCTCCCTCACAAAAATAAACATTAAGAAAAAAGAAAAACCCATCTTAAAATTCATATGCAATCTCAGGAGACCCAGAGTATCCAGAACAATCTTGAAAAAGAACAACAAAACTGGAGGACTCACACTTTGTGATTTCAAAACTTACCCATACACAGAAGAATGACATTGGAACCTTACCTCACACCATATGCAAAAATTAACTCGGTAGATCAAGGACCTAAATGGAAGACCAAAAATATGAATGAAAATAGGACTCCAAGTGAAATTCAGCAGACACAAAAGAATAAATATGGTAGAACTCCACTTATATGAGGTCTCTACCATAGATTCTTAGGGACAGAAAGTGTAATTCATGGGGACCAGAGCCGGGGAAGTGTGGGGGGGGGGCAGGGGAGAACGGGGAGTTATTACTAATGGGGACAGAGTGTCATTTGAGGAGGATGAGAAAGTTCTGGGAATGGATGGTAGGGATGTTTGTACGATGATGTGAATGTACTTAATACCACTGAACTGTACACTTAAAAATGGTTAAGATGGCAAATTTTATGTTATGTGTATTTTACCACAATAAGAAAAAGGGAAAAAAGGTATTTTCCCTTTTTTTCCCCACAAAGAAAAGACATCCTCTTTACTAAAGCAACCAAAAATTTATTTTCACTCACCTATCAAGAAACCATGATGCCATTAATACAAATTAGGGAAACTGAGTAATTTTAGCATCTGGAAGGTACCAGTCTTTCTAGAACCCTTGGAATGGACATCAGTCACTTCTAATCGAGTAGTAGTTTAGGAATTATGTAGTAATTTCAAGGTTTCAAAAACATCTGTAAAATAATTGAGTATTCACAAGTAAGCATGGACGTGGGAGACGGCTGACAGCTTTAAATCACTTGTTTTTGCTTGCTTTTTAAAACGTATCCTTTATTTGTTATTTGACACATACATAAGCCTGCAGGTACCCAAATGTTCGGAAAAGTTAATCACAGAGGATGTGAGGAGAGGGTCAAAAGAGTAGTTCTATTGAGTGTGTGCCGAGTTCTGTACTAAAATACAGAAATTACTACCTTTCCTAATGTGTAGCTCCTTTAAAATCGTCTTTAAATGTGCAATAGTGATAGCTACTTGTGAGAAAAAGGTTTTTCCTAAAAACAGCAGACGTATGTCACGTAAAGGGAGGACTGGTACCGATACTGAATCTTCCCATTTAATAAGATGGTATATATTCTCTTTTTAGGGTTTTTTTTTTTTTTTTTTTTTATTGTATTCTGTGTTATGATTTTACCGTTTGTTTCCTACCAAGTTTATATCTGGGGGCTTCGGGTGTTGGGGCCGCACTGTCACGCTGTTGGCACTCCACTCAACGCCCTTACTCTCCAGGAGTTTCTGAGTTGGCTGCCTCGAATTTTCTAGGAGACCATGACCCCTACAATAATGTTTTGTCTTACCCTCTCTGGCACTTAAACTGGTTTGTTTGGCTTCAGTTAAAGCCTTCGGCACAGCACGAATGCATACTGCTGTCGGCCACTGCTGTTGGCGCTGTGCTCTGCTCTGGCTTCCCGTTAGGTCACGTGCTTGCCTCGCTTACTGATGATAGTTCTTGGCAAATTAAGGAAGGCTCCCTTTTCTAGCTTATTAAAGTTACGATTTTTGTAAAAAGCAGAAATAGATACTGAATTTGATTGTATGGTTTTTTTCTTTTATGTATTTTTCTATATGAAGTGAGAGATTAGGTTTCCTAATTTTGAGACATGTTTGCATCCCTCGAATTAACGTCTTACTAGATTATGGTGTATTCTCTGTTAACCCATAACTAGATTTAAGTAGCTGATACTAGGATGTTGGTGTCTGTATTCTGAGGTATCATTGACTCTTTGTCTTTGAGGCCTTCTCTGTTTTGCATAAAGGTTATGCTAGTCTCGTAGAATGAATTGAGAAACTTTCCATGATGATGAACTTTCCAGCATCCAGTTAAAAAAAACTTGTTTTTCCATAAAGGATTTGAGGGAATACACCCTAAAACCTGGGGCATGATTTGTTTTGCAGGGAGGAGGAGCGAGGATTATAGACCTCATGCTGCCTTTTCAGTTTACATTTTACTTTGTCATCTGTTCTGGGGTTTTTGCTTCATGAGTCAGCTCCACAAATTGATGTTCGCCTAGGAAGTTGTCTGCATCGTTTAGACAAGGGATTACAAGCTTGTGCTCAGAGGGGAGGCTGTGGGAGAGCTGCTGCCCACGCCCCCCCCCCCCCCCCCCCCCCCCCCCCCCCCCCCCCCCCCCCCCCCCCCCCCCCCAGCCTGCCTCCCTGGCACACTTGGCATGGAGAGCACCATCTGTACCAAAGGAAACACCACACCCTCGGCCAGGAGGGCGGCAAAGGGCAGGTGCCTCAGAGCTGCGAAGACGTCCACAGAAGTCTGGCCCTTAGGTGGAATCTCAAGAGCTTTCTAATGTTGACTCAGCTTTTTAAAAAGCACTGTGCAGGCACAGCGGAACAGCCCGTGAGCCACCTGCTCACAGCTTTTCTTTGGATGTGAACGTCTACCTTGTACAGTTACTTCCTCCTGCCCCCCCGCCTGTGTCTGCCCTTTCTCAGGCCCACTTTAACTGTGGGGCCTTTTCTTCCCTTGGTCAGCCTGGGAGGGAATTTGGAGAACAGTGTTCCCGTGTTTATTGATCACATTTGCTTCTTCATTTTCCTGATAATTTCTGCTTTTACCTTTAATTTCTTCCTGCCTTATGGGTTTGTTTCTCATTTTTATTTTGTTCCTTTGGCTTGTTAGGTTGAACACATACTTTTCAGTCTTTTGTTCTGTTTCGTTCTCTCAGAAATGCATCTAAACCGGTACATTTTCTTCTACATGTTGGGCACATCTTACATAATCAGATTTGTGGGGCTTTCATTGTCAGTTATTTCTGTGGACTGTACTTTCAACTTTGATTTCTTCTCTTATGGTTTAAATGATTAAAAATGTTTTTTCCAAAAGCATGAATTTATTTTTTGAAATTACTTTTGTTTTGTTTTGGAGGGCTTATTGGTAGTATTTTCTTGTCTATGGGATTAAATATGTCCCCCCCCCCCCCGCTTTTCTTTGTTCTGATAATTTGGAAGATACAAATCCCACATCTATGTTTTTAGTGGTTATTCTTAAGTTTTTAATAATTAGAAGAATACATTTAGATAAACATCAAGACTTCATTGTTTCAGGCCTCCCACTCTAACACTAAAAACTGTACCTTTGAGCCCATCTTTATTCCCTGTCCCCCTCAATTGGGCTTCTTTTCTAATTGTGGTAAAATACACGTAACATAAAATTCAGAAGTTTTAACTAATCAGAAGTGTCCATTTCAGTGGCAGTAAGTACATCTGCTGTGTAGCTGCCCCAGCTCTTTTGCCTGTAGAACGTCTCCACCTTCCCTGAAGGACACCCTGTCCCATTGCACAACAGCCCTCCCTTCCCCACCTCCCAGCCCCCCCCCAGCCCCCTGCCCACCTTCTCTGTTCTTGTGGATTTGACTCCGGCCTCGCGCATGGAAGTTGTACCGGGGTTTGCCCTTTGTGACACCTGTGTGGGTGTCCTGTCCCAGCAGGCTCACACTTCTGGCAGGCTGGGTCATCTCCATTTCTGGATCTCTGTTCAGGCAGGGCACACATTAACAAGAGGCTTTCAAAGGATGAATGTCTACTACTGCAGCATAGATTCAGTTTGACATCTAATTTTCTTTTTAATGTGAGTTCCTCCTGTTTCCACGAAGAAGAGCACGTGAAAGAGGTGGGAGCCTCCCTGTAGGTGGTTTGTCACGCGGCACCAGATCTGAGATCTCTCAAGGACGCTTCTGGGTGACTTGCTGGTGCTGAGGTTTTTGTTTGCATCTCCCCTACTAGATGACCAGAAAACCAAACAGTTTGATGCCGATGAGAGCTTTTCTAAACAAAGCACACTGGCTTGAGGAGCAGGTGGGTGCTTCGTGGGAGTGTTTACCTCAGCCTCAGGCAGAGAGCAGGAAATGTGCCCTGGGAAACCCCCCCCCCGCTTCATGCCAGCCCCACCGGCCCTGCCTGTTCTGAGATAGTGTTGTTAATCCCAGATAACCAATTTTCCTATCTGTTTCCCGCATCCCCCTGTATTCCCCTCAAGGAAAAGCCTTATCAAGTGATCTCCCCCCGCCCCGCGCCTCCTTCCCTAGGGGGCAGGTGGGTGGGGGCCTGGCCAGAGTGGGACTGGGCTCCACCCCCCCTCAGGTCAGCTTCCCACTCCCCACACTCGGGCTTATACGCTTTCCTAGTGGTTGTTGACGCAGCTGGCTCAAGCCTCTTGCCTCCCTGCTTCCCCCCCCCATGATGGCTCTTCCTCTGCCCCCCAGACCCTCTGAGGCTTGCCAAGTGGGCTGGCTGGCTGTTGATGATGTCCCTTTCTGGGTGACTCCACTCTGAAGCCTGCTCCCCTTGATTTCACTCCACATGTTGGAGCAAGCCCTGTTGCTTTTTCAGCCGGGTTTTTCTCCCCCTGGCCCCTCTTCAGACGTTGTGCCCCCCTGTCCTTGCCCCTGGCTGCCCCTTGGCCCATCGGGTGGAGGGCTCCATGTTCATGGCTTCCTCCCGCCTCTCCTGCCCCCCCCCCCTCTAATTCACTCTTTTCCTTATGGATTCTTATCCTGACAAATGGTCTTCCAGGCTCACTCCCCTTCCATTGCTCCTCGGAGCTGGTCCACAGGCTTCTCTCCTGAAATCCAGATGCTTGCCTAGTTGACTGCAGTTTGGGTGCCACCCCTTCCACGTGTAGCCCTGGCTCCACCCCCCTCAGCTGTTGGTCCTTGTCCCTGCAGTGGGCATTCCCCAGCTGGCTCTCTAGCCCCACCTCAAGCTGCCAGATGCAAGGCCAGCAGCATGTGTCTGCTCAAGTGCCACCTCAGTTACAGAAGCTCCGTGTGTGCAGTGTGTGTGCCTCCAGGCTACACTGTTGGGGTCTGGTGCTCTCCTCCTCCCAGTCTGCCAAGACCCCCTTCCTGCTCAGCCCAGGGTCAGTAGGTGTGTGGCCTTCTCTTCAGAGGTGTTTCATTGATGCTTAGGCTCAGTGCTCTGCCCTGACCTCCAGGCTTTTTTTTTTTTGGCTTGATGAAGCAGCGAACCGCTCTAGACCACCCCCCCCCCCCCCCCCCCCCCCCCCCCCCCCCCCGCCCCACACACGCCGGCCGTGCTGAGCTGCTTTTCTGTTTCCGTTTCCGTGGCCTCCTGCACAGATCTGGGCTGGAGCACCTCCCACCTCATGGTTTCCTCTTTCAGGGTCTGAGCTCCTTGGGGGCCACAGTTTAGTTCTGAGCTCCTGGTCCCTAGTGAGTCCCGAGCACACAGCCATTTGGGGTCAAGGCTGGTGTCTGCTGGTGAGGCACCAGCGGGGGGTGTTCCTGCTCCCTGGCCTTTGTGCAGCTCTAGCCAAGGGCTGCTGCACATTTCAGGTCTGCCCCTTTCCCCCCACCCCTTCGTGGCTCTTTCCTATTCTGGGAAGCTGTGGCCGCTGGCTTCTAGATGGGCGTGATACATATTACCGTGATTACTGAAAACTCGGACCACCCGATTGGGGAATCTGCCTTGCAGAGTTAACCTCTCATTTGATGATTCCCTCCAGCTAACCAGCAAGAAAGCAGTTGCTGGTGAGAACAATTTCACGGACGCCATGAGGCACATGTTGTCCTCCCGGCTGAGCATGCCCGACTGCCCCAACTGCAACTACAGGAGAAGGTGAGCCTGTGCTGTCGTGTGGGCACAGAGGGCCCGTGGGACCCACGGCCTCAGCAGAGGCGCTGACCCTGACAAGAGTGTGGTCTGACCTTCTCTCCTGGCTCTCTGGGTAACTGTCCTTCATTCCCACTCAGATGTGCTTGTGATGACTGCAGCCTCTCGCACATCCTCACTTGTGGTGTCATGGACCCCCCCGTCACTGGCGACATCCACAGTCACCAGCTGCCCCTCCAAGTGGATTCTGCTCCCGACTATCTCTCTGAGATGCGCCCACCTAGCGTGTCCTCAGCAAGCTCAGGGTCAGGTTCCAGCTCTCCCATTACAATTCAGCAACATCCCAGACTCATCCTCACAGACAATGGCTCTGCACCAACTTTGTAAGTTGTGACTTTGTAATAAGATTTCAGAAATTTACGTAACCCAATAATGAGAAGTATGGACAGTGTTGTCTGCAGAAGTATGGATATCATTATAGTGCTTTTCCAGAAAAAGGATCCTTCATTTTTTAAGCAACTTTTAAAATATGAAATCAGTAAACCCAAACTTTGACACTATTTCATTACCTGACAAAAAAATATGGTAAATTAATAAATGCCAGTAAAGAAAAACCATGTTGGTATGCAGGGAAGTGTCTCTTCAGTTCTGGCTTCACGTTTCCTCATTTTATTTGAGGGTGATCAGCCCGAAGCTCATTCCGCCTCATTGTCCGTTCAGCATTCATGCTTATCCCATGTCTTGCTAAAAACCCAGATGATCACTTTAGCAAGCGATTGAAAGGTTCTGTTTTCCGTGTTCCCACATTATCTACAAGTACATTTTGTATGAGCGAGGTGGCTGTGCCACTATCGCCAATTCACACTGTAGGTGAGTGGTCCCACGTTTGTTCGGAGTTGTGACCCTGTCATTTGTTGAGGCTTTCCACCCTGACTTCTGGACGGGTTGCACATGGATGCGTGTTTTTATTTTATTTAGGTACATTTAGGTTTGTATTTCGCTTATCGTAGAGCATAGGGGTGTCAGGAGCCCCGTGCAGGTGACGGACATCAGCCCCGGTACCCAGTAGTAGAGATTGTTGCCCCAACTGCGGGCTGTTCAGCGCTTCTCAGATTTCTCACTTCTTCCATCTGGATTTCTCACGATGACTCTGAGGCTTTCCTTTGGAGTCTTCCAGTCCTCAGTATGCATCTGGTCTCAAACACAAAATAATTCTAAAGGGATTGGTCTGAATGCCATGACTCTGTTGAGCTCGAACTGCTTTCTAGTCCTGGACACCCTGTGCTCTCTGGGAGTCTGTGAAGGAGGGTCGAGAGTTTCCCAGCCAGCTGTTTACCAGCCTCTAAAAAACGTATCGGCAGGAAACACATACAGCCTAATAAAAATGTGTGTCAGAAGAGCCTATCCCTGCTCACATGTCACAGCTGCCAGCGTCAGGTGTGAGCTCCTGTGCCTTGTCACGTGGTGGAGGAAGTGGGCTGTGGGCACCTTTCTCCTCAGGCTGGGATTGTCCGTGGCCGTTCCGGGCCTCTGGTCCTTCAGCAGCCTGGGGCTAATGTCTGCCAAATACGATTTACCGTGACCTGAAGCCCTCCAGCGTTGCCTTTGGTACGTGTTGTCTCTTTCTTGGTGTCATCGTGAAGGCGCTTAAATAGAGTCGTGCAGTTTTAGTCTCTGTTCAGCAGTGCCCTCCAGTTTTGGTGGGCTCTAGGGCCAGTGCAGCCCGCCTTCATTACGTCGAGCAGACGATTTGATCACTTCATCGCTGAACCTCGGTTTCCTCATCTGTGGGTCGTGGTGGTTATAACATCTCAGGAGCGGCTGAGTGTCGACCAAGGCAAAGTGTCCCGTCACCTCAGGCACCACAGGCCCTCGGGAAGCCTGCACAGCCCGCACCTGGTGGGTGCTGTGTGCTTCCCTTGGTGAGTGTGCTGTAGTATGTTGACTCTGTTTCTAAAAATGGGAAAGACATTTGAGTTGAGCAATTCTGGACGCTCTTCTGAAGCTAAAAGGTCACTAGTTCTTAGGACTTTTCCTTCTGGAGGTTGTTGTATGCTGAGGCAGAAGGTGGACTCAGAGGCATGCTCACATAGACTATGGCGTGACCATGTGTGGTCACATCACACCTTGAACAATTTGCACTGCAGTGGGAGCTCCGTGCCCACTCTTTCCACACACCAGAAAAGCGTATGTTTGAAGTGGCCTTCGTTGGCTACAGTTCTTGAAATTTGCTTATAATTTTTAGTAAGTATTTCATTTGCCCACTGTTTAGATGTCTTGCTAAAGCTGATATTTACTTAAGATCATGACTGACTTGTCCAGAGCTGGCCTTATAGTGAAAAACTTTCAGTATTTTGTCAACTAAGTGCCTTAAAGTTTTGTTCACCTGGCTACGTCTGAAATTTTGGCAGTCCTTTGTAGTCCTTTAATTTTAGTAAAAAAATTGTGTGTCTGCTTGGAAATGGCAAAGAACAGCTGTAGACCAAGGCACTTCAAGTTGAGTGGAAATGCAGTGATTAATCTGATTACATTTTTATGCTTTTTCCAACATTTTTTCTACTTTTGGAGTTTTGTTTTCCATTCTTCTAAATAGTACCAATGGTAATTGTTCAGGCATTTTTTCTCCTTGTGTTCAGGTTACTGAGAGATAGTAGGAAGTGTGTGGCGCTCAGTGTAACACTCTTGTGAACAAGAATAGTGTCCGTGAAGGAGACGTCTGTGCTTTGTGGGTGGTTCACTCACTGTCCCTCCGGGTAAATGGCCTCATGGTGACCATCTCTGCCTGTCTCAGTTGTAGTGATGACGAAGACGTTGCGCCATTGTCAGCTAAGTTTGCTGATATTTATCCATTGAGTAACTACGACGATACTGAGGTGGTGGCCAACATGAATGGAATCCACAGCGAATTGAATGGTGGCGGGGAAAACATGGCTCTGAAAGATGAGGTATGGGTACAACTTCTTCCTGGTGACAATAAGTGGCAGAAAATGGTAATCTGGCATCTTATTTTTTTATATTCTTGCGTTTTGAAAAGTATAAATGATAAAGGTTGTTTTTAAAGTCCCCTCAGGTAAGCAGTACCAGTAGTAGCTCTTCAGAGGCTGACGACGAAGAGGCAGATGGCGAAAGCAGTGGGGAGCCGCCGGGAGCCCCAAAGCAAGACGTGGCTCTAGGCAATGGGAGCCCCAGGAAAGAGGAAAGTAAAGTGGACAGTCCACCCCCATCTTACCCAACTCAGCAGGTACGATTTTATCTTTCCGAACTTTGTGTTTTGCCAAGGGTATCTTTCTCTGTGTGTATTTCCTAAACATGAGAATTATTGAATGCAAAATTGTGTTGTTTTGAATAACTTCTGAAGATGAGCACTGGAGAGGATCAGAGCATGCTTTTAAAAATAAATCAACATGACTCCTGAGCCCCATTTTGATCTTGTTCCTCTTGCTTGAGTCTAATCGACTCTTGCTTGAGTCGAAATGACCGAGTCAAATCGGTCTTGATTTTGTAACTCTCCAGAGTAGCTCCAGATATTTGGGTATCATAGAGGGTTTTTTCTATAAAGAAGCAAGGGGAGGGCGCCTGGGTGGCGCAGTCGGTTAAGCGTCCGACTTCAGCCAGGTCACGATCTCGCGGTCCGTGAGTTTGAGCCCCGCGTCGGGCTCTGGGCTGATGGCTCAGAGCCTGGAGCCTGTTTCCAATTCTGTGTCTCCCTCTCTCTCTGCCCCTCCCATGTTCATGCTCTGTCTCTCTCTGTCCCAAAAATAAATAAACGTTGAAAAAAAAAAAAAAAAATTTAAAGAAGCAAGGGGAGAGTTTGTATTTTTGTTTTTTAAATGTTTATTGTTAGAGAGAGAGAGAGAGAGAGAGAGAGCGCACGCGTGCACACATGTGCACACGCGTGCACGCGAGTGGGGGAGGGGCAGGGAGGCAGCAGATCCCAAGCAGGCTCAGTGTTAACAGCAGAGAGCCTGACATGGGGCTCGAACTCACGAACCCATGGCCTGTGAGATCATGACCTGTGCCAAAGTTGGATGCTTAACTGACTGAACCACCCAGTGAGACTTTTTTAAACAAGTAAAATAGTGGAATGTTAAAATTTCAGAAATGGTTGATTTTGTAAGGGAGGTTTTCTTTCTGGTGGATATCTGGTTTCTTAACTGAAGGTAATACCTCATGAGACAACTGTCTTTTCTTAGAGACTCAGTTTTATAAATAGGTTATCACGTAGTTTTTAAATGAAAGGAAGACCAGGTAAAAGTCAAGATGCTTAGTTAATTAACTTACTTAATAGGCAGTGTAGATCCACGGTTCAGGCAAGGAAGGTGACATGGTGAAAAGGTGTTACATTGAGAAGTCCTGCCCCCTTGTCCTTCACCATCTGCCCTGGCCAGCACCTACCCACCCCCAGTTTTAGTCCCAGTAGATAACCAGTCTTACTCGTTGTCGTGTGTCTTCCCAGTGTTTGTTTATGCAAATGCTCATGTTTCTTCTTCCCCTTACAAATGAAAAGGCTTAATGTGCACAGGCAGTTCCCTGACCAACCCTCCCTGTACAGAGTGCACTTTGTTCTCTTCTGCTGCCCTCTGTGTTCCAGCAGGTGGATGTACCATGGTTTTGTTTTTCTTTTTAGTCCCCTGCTGCTGGGCACCTGTGTTTGCTTCCCTCTTTTTCCCCTATATACTGTTCAGGGAGCGTCCTTACACATCTTTCATACATAAGTAGGTCTATCCCCAGGATTGGTCACCAGCAGTGGCTTTTCTGGGTCAGAGTGTGATGGCTGCCCTGCCCCCCCAAAGAGGCTGCTATCATACAGTTTTGGGGTGCTGCCAGTCTGATAAGAATTGGTAATCCCTTCAAGTTTCAGTCTCCATTTTATTGTTTATGGGTAAAGCTGAGCATTCTTTTATCTATATCGATGGGCCATTTGTTTCCTTTTCCAGCTTATTGAGTTATAGGAATTAGAAGAATTCTTTATGTGTTGCCCCTCCTTTATAATTACGTGATCTGAAAACATTTTCTCTTGGTCTGTGGCATGTCTGTTAGTTTTTAGTGGTATTTTTTGAAAATGAAAAGTTTTTAATTTTGCTGAATTCTTATTCATCAACTCTTTCTTTTATGAATCATACTTTTGATGTCCCATCCAAGAAAACTTTGCCTAATACAAAACTCTGTTTTCTTCTAGACGATTTGTAATTTTAGCTCTTAGTCAGGTCTGGTTCATTTGACCCAGTTTTTACTTATGGTGTGAGAGTAGGGTTTAAATTCATCTTTTTGCACATGTGGATATCCAGATTGTCCCAGCACCATTTGTTGAAAAGACCATCTCTTTTCCTGTTGAATTGCAGTGGCCATTTGCTGAAAATCATTTGACTATAAATACAAGTGTTTATTGTCTGCACTCTGTATTCTGTGTTTATTTGACCTCTGGGTCCTTTCCCATAGTGTATTTGACCTATGCTTTATAGTAAGTTTGGAAATAAGGTAGGATCTGCTCTCCAGCTTGGTGAGGCCTTATTGAAAACTGTTTAGGCTGTTCAGAATCCTTTATGTTTCCATGTAAGTTTTAGAATCAGCTTGTTCTACAAAAAAGCTTTCCTGAATTTTGATAGAGATTGAGTTGAATTCTTGAATATTTGGTAGAATTCACCTGGGCAGAATCCTCTGGGCCTAGTCTTTTATCTGTGGGATAATACAGATCAATTTGGGGAAAATATAGTCCTAACAAAACTGGAATCTGTCAGCCTATGAATGCACTATACCTTTCCATTTGTTTAAATCATTGTTGATTTCTTTCAGCAGTTAAAATTTCTAGTAAGTAGGTCTTGAACTTCCTAAATTTATTCTTAAGTATTAGATGGTTTTGATTCTGCAGTAAATGGTATTTTCTAATTTCAGTTTTCAATTGATTGTTGGCAATATGTAGAAATACAGTTGATTTTTATATATTGATCTTATATTCTGTAGCTTAAACTCATTTATTCTTTTGTTGTTTTTCCTTTTTTTTTTTTTTTTTTTTTTTTTGGTAGATCCCTTTGGATTTTCTACATGCAAGATTATGTTGTTTGTGAATAAAGACAGTTTTACTTTTTCCTCAATCTGGATGCTTTTAATGTCTTACTCTCGCCTTCCTGAGCTAGCTAGCGCCTCCAGTCCAGCTCTGCGGGGAAGCGTTGCAAGCGTATGTCTTTGCCTTGGTCCCAGGCCTGGAGGGAAGTACTCGGTCTGTTACTAGTGTGATGCTACCTGCACAGTGTCTAGGGATGACCTTACCAAGTGGAGGACATGAATCCTGTCAACTCCCAGTTTCCTGAGAGTTTTATCATGAACATGTATCTGGTTTTCCAAATGCCTTTTCTGCATCTATTGAGATGTTCCTGTGGTTTTCATCCTTCATCCTGTTACTGTAGTGTATTGCATCAAGTGATTTTTGGATATTAAACCAACCTTGTATTCCTAGGATAAATCCCACTTGGTGTGGTATATAATTTTTTTTTTGTTTGTTGCTGGATTGGTTTCCTAATCTTTTACATCCATGTTAATGAAAGATACTATTTTATGGTCATCTCTGCTTATGACATCTTTGTCTGACTTTGATAATATTAGCCTTAAGGAATTAGTTGGGAAGTGTTTATTCTGCCTACAATTTCTGAAGCAATTTGTCTAAAATTCGGATTTCTTAAATATGTGATAAAATTTACCAGTGAAATCCCCTGGGCCTGGTCTTTTTTTGTGTGGGAAGACTTACAATTACTCATTCGGGTTTTGTTTATTAATAGGTTTACTCAGATTTTCTATTTCCTCTTGAGTTAATTTAAAAAATTTGTGTCTTTTTAGGAATTCATCCATTTCACCTAATTTGATGGCGTAAGGTTGTTTCTGGTATTCACTTATAAATTCTTTTCATTCTACAGGGTCTGGAGTGATGTTAATCCCTGGTTTTGGTAATTTTGTTTTCTTACAAATTTTGTTTGCTAGAGGTCTATCAATTTTTGTAAATAACCAATTTTAGGTTTTGTTAATTTTCTCTGTTTTTCTCTTAATTTCATTTATTTGTATTCTGATCTTCATTACTTCTGCTGCAGTCTTTGGGTTCGGTTTGTTTTTCCCTTTCTAACTTGTGAAGCCTAAGCTTAGATTACTGATTTTAGAACTTGAAAACTTATTGAGACCTGTTTTATGGCCTAACATGTGGTCTCTCCTAGATGATGCCCCATGTACACTTGAAAATAATTTGTGTTCCGCTCTTGTGGAGCGTCCTACAAATGAAAGTTTGGTCAAACTGATACCATTATTCAAGTCTTTTGTATCCTTACTGGTTTTCTGTCTTGTTCTAAAAATTGCTGACAGATGTACCGAAGTCTTCAAGTATAACTGCGGGATCGTCTGTTCCCTTCTCAAATCTGCCAGATTTTGATTCATGCATTTGGGACAGTGTTGTTGAAGGTGTATACATGTATTATTGTTACATCTTCCTGGTATATTGACTCTTTTGTCATTATGAGATGATTCTCCACTAGCATTTCTTCTCTTAAAGACCATCTCATGTGACATGAAGAGTCATTCCAGCTGTCTTAGAATTACTGTGTGTGCACGTTATATATTTTTTCATGTCTTAGAATGTAAGATTTGTCTTTGAATCTTTTAGTTGGGTCTTATATTTGCATCTTGTCCATCGATCCTGCCTTTGGTCTGGAGTGCTTTGTTTATGGTTAATGTCATGATTGGTGCTGTGAACAGCTGCCATTTGCTGTCTGTTTCTCTAGGTCTCATATGTTTTGTTCCTCTGTTCCTCTTTTGTATCAGACAAAAATTTTAGTATTCCATTTTAATTCTGCTGTTGATTCTTTGTTTTTGTTTTTTGGGGGTTTTTTTAGTTAATTTTTAAGGGCTGTTGGCAACGGGAAGTGCCCCAGGCAAGAGGGCTAGACTCCCACTGCTCTTACCTGACGTTCTGGTAGATTGGCATGAATAAATGCTTCTCAATTTGCTTTTTCCCTTTGGTTGACTTTCAGATCCTCAGATGGTTGCTTTGACAATTGTGTTCAGTTTTACCTTGTTTCGAGGGAGAGAAGCCACCGACTGCCTCTCTTCCCTCAGCTGAGTCCTGTCTCTGGTGCCTTCACAGAATCTCCATGTAACCACGCCTTAGCAGTGCGAGCCCCGTGGAGTCCAGTACCAGTGCTCTGTCGTCCCTGGCCCCAGCCCCCCTCTGTACTCTGCCACCCTTGCCAGTCCCCTTGTCCCTTCGCGGACAGGCACGGGAGCACACTGGTGCGGGTGCCACCTCAGCAGACGCCCGGCTGGGGAGTGAGGTGTGCATCTCTTCTCTCCTCAGGTTTCCTGCATCCTGGGCTCATGGGGTCCCCTCTGTACTTTACAAGGAGGGCCCTGGGTGACTTGAGGTCTCAGATGAGCCCTGCCATCTTTGTTTTGGCTGTGTAGCTGCTCAGCAGAATGTGACTTTTTAATTTGTCCCTTCTTTGTTTCGCTAAATAACTGGGTACTTTTTTTTTTTTTTTTTTTTTT